TATTTTGTACGAACAAAATAAATATATTGAAAAATATAAAAACAATAAAAAATTATACTTCAGAAGTTAATTTAGTATCAAAAACGTAAAATATTTGAGTAGCCCAAGACATAGCCAAAGATTGCAGCGCCACAGCACTGGCGAAAATTTAAATTTGCCGACTGGAATTCTTTCGGATGATTGACTTTCGGATAATCGACGCTCTACTGTATTTTGATATCTTTTATACCATTAAGTTTAGTTTATACACAAATATAATAATAGAAAATAACAGAAAATTACAAATAATTTTGATTAGTCAACTTATTTTCTTTAGGTAAGAATGGAATAGAATACTTATTTTAAAATTCTTTAAGAATTTGTGTATATCATTAAATTAAATACCAAATAATAATTATTTTTTTATTTTAGTTACAATTTTGGTGTATGTTGTCACTATATATTATCAATATTTAGAATGGTATATTGAGATAAATGATATTACAGATTTAGTATATATTTTACCGAGAAGGGACTGTCTAAGAAATTAAAGAAATAAGAATTGATAAACTTATTTCATCAAAGACTATATTAGGAAGACAAAGAATAATCAGAAGAAAATTCATTAAGCTTTCCAAGAAAAAAATTCACTTATCTCATCCTTAAATTCTTCAACATTAGCTGATTTAAAAAACCATTGTAACAAATGATGTTTGTTTGCAAATATGAAGAGAATGAAAGGATAATTTTTGATGCTTCAGTAATGTCCACAAGTGCTTTATTTAATTCTATTAATAATAGATTAATCATATAAATCAATAACATCTTAAATAATAGTGTCTAATTTATGATAAGAGATTCTACATTTTTATAGAATCCAATTTTATCATGATTTATATTTTAAAAAATTATACTGATATGTCAGTTTATGGATAGATAGATTCACAATATTTCCAAATTAGTTCTATCAGTATGTATCAATATAATGAAAGAATGTTCTGAGTTCTGAATGTTCAATATATTTTTAATACATTGCAAAAATAACAATTCATTATTTGTTATTATCACAACGTTAATTATTAAGTACCAAAACTTATCTAATATAGAACTAGAAAAACTAGAACTTACAATGATAATACAGCTTACAATTTTAATCAGCAGAAAATTTATTATTATTATTTTTATATAATCATCACTGAATTTTTTTGAACTCTCTATTAAACTATAAAAATTTAATAAAAGTTTTTAAATATAATATTTTTTCATTTATTCTTTCATTATTTTTTCAGCATAATGAAATTTCCATGGAATTAAAATTGAGAAATATTTATTCAGAAATTCTCACTGGGATGAAATTGAATCCAACAAATGAATGTCATCCAGTTATTTCATATTTATTAGAAAGAAAAGATTTTCTTAAAGAAAAGAAGAAAGAATTAAAGAAGAAAATATTTTTTAGACCCAATACTCCACAGGTACTTTTCATTTACATATTTACTGCATAAAATAAGCAGAAAATTGTTTTATGAATTTATTTATTTATTTATTTCAAGCATTTTTTAAGTAAAAATTTACTTTTTTTTATTCAAATAATGTTTTAATTTCTAGCAAAATTAAGAATTAAATCTTAAATAATAGTATTTACAATAAATCTAGAAAATAATTAAAAACAATTAAATAAAATAATTATAGTAATTTTGTCTCTTAAATTAATTTTTGTTTAAAAATACTGTTCGAGAAAACTCTGTCCTTAAAATTTGTTTAAAATATATTATTAGGTGTGTTCCATTTTATTTTTAATTTTGATGGTATTATGACTTACAATCTTTGATATATAGTTGGCATTTTTGTATATTACATTATCTTTTATTCTAGTACTAAGACTTTTGTTTGTTATGAGTATTTCATTTCTTCAATTGATAATAGATATTTTATAAATTTCAAACTTCAGAATGCTCAGAATAGTGAAAATTCAAAATTTTAAGAAATACTATTAGAATTTAAGTGCTCTTGAGATTGTTTTCCAATTTATAAAGCCAGCAATGCTTGAAAATGGTTGGATTTTAAGTATTTTATAATTCACTTGAAGAAAGCATAATTTGAATTCTAATGTCTTTTTTTTTTAACTTAGTTTTTAAAAATTTAGAAGATTATTGTCTTTCTTTAATTTCTTAATAATAATATTCTAATGATTTTAGCATACAACTATCAAAAGGTAGATTTTTTTTATATTGTAAAGTATTAAATAAGATTATAAAAAGAAATTGAGTTCAAAAAGATTTAGATAAAACCTAGTATTGAAAATTAAATTTTATGATGATTTCTTAAATTGTATGCAAGCTAACTGAATTAAAATTAAATAATAAATTATTGTGAGTTAATTTTTAGATTTCCAAATTTTAAATAAATAATTAAAATACTAATAAACCTATATTTAAGTTATTTATTCAATTGTCATGGATTTAACACACACAAAAACAAATATAAAATACACAAAATTTTTTGATTGTCATGACTACATTGAATTTATTTTATATAAATTCAATGTAGTCAATAAAATATGCATGAAAACTATCAAACAAATTTGGGAGTGTTGTCCTAAAAATCCAAAATATAAGTAAAATGAGCAAAACTGTGTTTACAAATAATCAAAAAATTAGTTAAATTGAAGAAACTTTGAGCAAGTACTCTCCAATATTCTATATATATAACTGAATCTTCATAAATAAATTATGATCAATTTTAACTTTAAATTTCAAATATTATTATGTAGTATGAAGATTTGTTGCAAGATGTTCATCACTTTTTATCATCTGTTGGTTCTGCAAATACAATGTTATCTATGTTAGAACAATTGGATCATGTTAAAGAAATGTGCACTGTTGGTAAAGATAAAGATGTTATGAAATTAGAAAAAGTTCTGCGAGAAATTGAAAGATGGCAGAAGTCAGAAGATAGTTTTTCAAATAAATTACAAGAAAAGTATTTATTATATGGAGATTTGATAATACCATTTTTAGCAGGATTAAAACAGGTAAGTGTTACTTTATTATAGAAGTCATTATAGAATTTAAAAAGTAACTTTTAAATATTTGTTTAAAGATGGCTTTTGGAGTTCAAACTGCAGCTAATTATGTGTCATCTCAATTGTTCAAATTACAATTTTCACAGGTATTTATAGAATTTATTTATTATTTTTTTATAATTTAAACAATTATTATTAAGTTTATTAATTAGATGGTTACATTGTAAAGAAGTGGGGTGAGGGATACATACCTTTGTTATCACTATATATTATCAATATTTAGAATGGTATATTGAGATAAATGATATTACAGATTTAGTATATATTTTACTGAGAAGGGACTGTCTAAGAAATTAAAGAAATAAGAATTGATAAACTTATTTCATCAAAGACTATATTAGGAAGACAAAGAATAATCAGAAGAAAATTCATTAAGCTTTCCAAGAAAAAAATTCACTTATCTCATCCTTAAATTCTTCAACATTAGCTGATTTAAAAAACCATTGTAACAAATGATGTTTGTTTGCAAATATGAAGAGAATGAAAGGATAATTTTTGATGCTTCAGTAATGTCCACAAGTGCTTTATTTAATTCTNATATTTAATAAAATAAAAATATTTTCAACTATTTTTTATAGTCTTCTTCAGTTAAACCACTTTAAAACAAAAAAAAACGTAAAATAGAACGCAAGTAATACAACGTTTTAAAAATTTGAAAATAATTACAACAAAGTAAAAATAAAATAAAACTATTTTAATTTAATTTTGTTTTTACATTTTATTTTATTTTTATTTTGTAATTATTTTCAAATTTTTAACGCAAGTAACGTTGTATTACTTGTGTTCTATTTTACGTTCCTTTTTGTTTTAAAGTGGTTTAACTGAAGAAGACTATTAAAAATAGTCGAAAACATTTTTATTTTATTAAATACTTCATTGCTGGAAATACTAAGGTGTTTGGTTATTTTAAGTATTTATATTCCAGTAAGTTATTTTGTTTTATTATGGTATTAACTTCATATTCATTAATTGATAATTTTTTTTTTTTTTTAATTTATGTATTAGATATACAAGGTGTCATATATAAAATCAGCCTTACTGGAAATAATACAAATTTAGACAAAGGACACTCATTAGAAACTTTATTTTAACATTTATATTTAAACACACAAACTTGGAAGATGCTTAGATATCTTTTTGTGACTATTTTGTGTAAACATGAGTTTACTGATCGTACATAAAATACTGGTATTGATAGCCTCAATGCTTCAGTGAATGGTTAATTTAGTTTAATTATAGTTCTAGGATTAGTCTCATATCTTTCCTTTTAAATATCCCACATGAAATTTACATGACTAATGTTTCATTATCTCAGTTGGGCTGATTTTAAATGGGACTCCCTGTAGTTCAACTTTTTAATTTATTGTAATATTTATAAATTGCTTTAGTGTTATTCTGTATGAAATAAATTTTGGTTATATTTTTATATATTTGTAAATTTATTATAGTATTTTTTTAAATATATAATGTATATTTGTATTTATATTTTGTATTTGCATTTATAATATCATTTAAAGAATTATTTCTTGTATAAATAAATAAAAACTATAAAAGCTTTTAAAATAAATAAATTGCTATAATTTTTATATAATTTACTGTGAATAAATATTCTTGTTTTTTCAGAGGTTAAAATTTTTATATATACTGCAATAATGGGGTTCAAAATTTTATTGTTACATTGTAAAGTATTTATACTATATACAAGGCATGTTTTTTAAGTAAGTACTGTTTTGATATTAAAAAAACTACTGCATTTTTTAAAATAATTTTATTCTTACATGAAAGCCTGTACTTTAATCTGCTTTTCAACATAATTTTCTCCAATATGAAGGCATTTTTCATATTGTACATCCTCATAGACACCTGCCACCTGATTTGCCAATCACTGCAGCACAGCGTTTTGACATCGTCGTCATAGCGCTGACTACCTAGATGCCTTTTTTCAAGTGGAGGAACAAGTGGTAGTCACTAGTCACTAAATCAAGACTATACATAGGGTGATCAAGTTGTTCCCAGTCATATGATGTGATAAGATTTTGTGTTTGTTGAGCCACGTGTGGATAGGCACTGTCATGAAGCAAAACAATCCCCTTACTGAGCTTGCCTTGCCTTTTGTTTTCTTGAACTTTCTGCACCGAGCCTTCAGTAATGACAGACAGTCATCCATTACACTCCTCATCATGGACATTAGTACCACTATCTTTAAATGCTCTAACCAATTTTCTTACCATTCCATCACTCGTAATGTTTTTCCATACACCTCACTAATCTGCCAATGAATGTCAGCCACTTTCACATCTTTTGCATTAAAAAAAAAAACAAATCACCATGCATACTTCTCAATTGGCGGGATTTTCAAATGTCTGAGGCATTTTAAACACATACAAGCAAACGGAAAACAAATGAATGCTTCCGTAATTGCATCTGTGACTAGCCAACAGATGTAGGTACTCAGCTCACATTTGTAGAACACCAACCGTAACACTGCAGAAGTCCTATTTTAAAATGATACTTACTTAAAAAACATGCCTCGTGTATATATATATTGTATTTGTATATATACATACATACATGTACAGTATAAATACTAGTACTTGTAGTGCATAAATATAAAATTATAATAAAGTAAGAAAAGATACAATTTAATAATATAATTTATTAATTTTTTTTTTAATTGCAGGATCTTATATCAATAGAGAAATTTTTCATAAAATTGTTAGAATTTCCATATGTTAGCATATCTTATAATGAAGATTTATCGCCTGCTTATTTTCTTTCACAATCATCAACTATTTCATTTTTTGAATCTCTCTTAAATTATGTGTTTAAGGAAAACTCATTTATAGTGCAAGAAAATATTACAAAATTGATCATGTCTGGTCTCATAGAATTAAAAAATGAAATATTATTAACTAAAGGAGATGATCTTTATGCATTAAGGGTTTTTAAATTATTGTCAAAATTTTTGAATGTGATATTTAATGTGTGGCACCAGCAAGAAACAGAACAAAAACGTAAAGAAGAAGAGGAACAAGCTTTGTATGAATATCGAATTTCTCAAAAATTAGGTTCATTATCTGAAGAACAGCAGCAAAAGTTAGAAATAAAAGAACTGTTTCCATCATATGAGGAGGTAGAATTTTTTTCATTTTTTATCAGTTTTTTTTTATTTGTATTTAAATATAAATTTGAGTCATATTTCTAGAAATTTATTCATTTATAACAGTGTTTTATTTGAAATCCAATTATTTATATATTACAGAGAAGTTTAGATAAATTAATGATTACAGTCTTTATAAAGTTTTTCATTATGAAAATACAGTTTAAAAATAAACCAAAGTACTTTTATATGAAAGAGAAATTTAAATAAATAAAACCAATTAAAACAGAAATTGTTTTTTACAATTTTATTAATATGAATTACATCAGTTTTATTTATTTGTTAAACTATTTTCTAATATTTAGATCTTAAATATTTTGCTTATCATATGAGTTTTGATATTGTAAAGATTTTTCAATGTTTACAAGTTTTCTGAATCAGTTTTAGAAATTTTAATACAGTGGAACCTCTATTATCCGGATTTTCGATTATCCGGATTGTTCAAAATAAACAAAAATTTTACGAATTTGCTGATTTGCACTTGGCGAATTACGACACTGTTTATTTGATAATTTTTTTTTTTTTTTAATTTATGTATTAGATATACAAGGTGTCATATATAAAATCAGCCTTACTGGAAATAATACAAATTTAGACAAAGGACACTCATTAGAAACTTTATTTTAACATTTATATTTAAACACACAAACTTGGAAGATGCTTAGATATCTTTTTGTGACTATTTTGTGTAAACATGAGTTTACTGATCGTACATAAAATACTGGTATTGATAGCCTCAATGCTTCAGTGAATGGTTAATTTAGTTTAATTATAGTTCTAGGATTAGTCTCATATCTTTCCTTTTAAATATCCCACATGAAATTTACATGACTAATGTTTCATTATCTCAGTTGGGCTGATTTTAAATGGGACTCCCTGTAGTTCAACTTTTTAATTTATTGTAATATTTATAAATTGCTTTAGTGTTATTCTGTATGAAATAAATTTTGGTTATATTTTTATATATTTGTAAATTTATTATAGTATTTTTTTAAATATATAATGTATATTTGTATTTATATTTTGTATTTGCATTTATAATATCATTTAAAGAATTATTTCTTGTATAAATAAATAAAAACTATAAAAGCTTTTNCGAAAAGAAAATGTGTTGTATTATCATTAAAAGACAAATTAAATTTTTGTATTTGTATTTGTTTCGATTATCCGAATTTTCCCTTATCCAGACTACCTTCATCCCCAATTAGTCCGGATAATCGAGGTTCTACTGTATATTTTTATTCATGCAAATGCAAATATCTTATTATCTGTAATAGAAAATGTATAATTGTTCATTTCAGTATTATGGAGAAAATCATATAATAGTCACATTAAAATTCTAATGTAGTTGCTATATACTACATAATAAATTAATGTTTGTAAATCTTCAGATTTACAAAAGTTGCTAACAACAGAATTAATAATTCTAAATTAAGTTAAGATTGTATAAAATAAAAATTTTATTGTTAATTATATAATAATAATAATTAAAATTCTTATTCTATAAAATCTTTAAAATTAAAAGTTAAGATCTCTGGTAGTAATTTTTTTATGTAACATATGTTATTAAATTAATTAAAAATTTATTGATAAAGGCGGGGGGTGAAGCAGTAGATATAGTTCTTATTATGGAAAAAACATTCAGAAAAACATAGAAAAAACATTACTTCTTATACAGAAATCACAAATAAGGACTGTAAAATAATAAAAGATAAAAAAATAAATAAAGAACTTTGTGTGCCAAGCATCTGTATATCTACTTTTCATCTCCATGTATTAAGATATATTGATAGGTTTAATTATTTTATAAATGTTTTCTTTTTTATGATTAGAGTTAAAAATATTTTAAAATTCTCTAAAGTTTAATATTAAAGTAAAACAACTCATGTTAAAGTGTTTTTAATTGAAAAACTTGAACATTGGGTCTATAAAATTACTTTTACAAACAAACAATATTAGATGTTTCAAGCTTTATCTATGGTAATTAGTACAATTAAAAAGAAATTACAAGTTCAAGTTTTTGTCTTGAATGCATAATGCATACTTAAACAAATTTTGTATACCATAATTCTTTATGTATAACCAGTGGTAATCTGTGTTATAAAGTCAGTTTGAAAGCTATGCATTTTAATAATTTTTGCAGATTATATACCACTGTGGGTTATGTGCAGGAAATTATAATTGTTATGTTAATATATATCTAAGTGACTGTTTTCTTTGTTTTATTTTAAGTGTTTATAATGTTTCCAATTTATTTTTATTAATATTTTAAAATACTTTTATTTTTGTTTAGGAATTTAATGTTAAAGAAGATGACGATTTGAAAAATTCTAGTGATCCTAGTGATCCTGAGCAAAACATTTACAGTCATCCAAATAATATAACATTTTCATTGAAACATCAGGATATGATTGATATATGGAGTATTCATGCTACAATTGTTTCTATTCTCTCAAATAAGTCTGAATTTCCTTACATTTCACAGTTTCATTCAAATGGAAAATATGATTTAAAGAGACTGGAATATATTCAGCCATTTATGTTAAGATATGAAGTTGTTCAGTATTTAGTAAAAGATATTGGACAAAATTTAGGTAGGTGCTACTTTTAAATGTATTTTCAATTAATTAATCATTTAAAAAGTAGAATTAAAATTAAAATTGAGTCTTGATTTTTTAATGTTTTGTATCACCAATTTACCATGTTATGATCCAACTATTTTATCAGATTCTGGAGTGAACTAACATTTTCATCCAAATTTGGAGAACTTTATCTTCTCGGTGCTATCTCACTATAAATTTGTATAACTAAGAAATAAGGTAAAATGCAACATTTACTGTAAAATCTAGAAATTGTAACATTGTTTTAATTCATTAAATCAGTGAATGTTACAAATGTTACATTCATCGATTTAATGAAGTTTTCTAACAGTTGTAAGAAGATGAAAGAATGTAAAATTACAAACTTTTATGCTGTTAAAAAAACTTGGACATTTAAATCTACTTAACCTTTAGTAATTTTTCCAAGGGCTTTAACCCATCAATGCAAATTTTATTATGTCAAATGACAGTGGCATTTTGATTTTTGTTCTAGTAATTTCCTTCAAAGTATGTGCCATCACAGATTGTACATCTTTGCAAGTTATCTACATGAAATTACATTAATAAATAAATAATTATAATAAATGGAATTTATTAATAATTAGGAGTTATGGAATATTGAAAAATACACACACAATTGTAAATATTTTGAAAAATATATTTTTTAAATTTTCTTTGCATGATCATATAGCAGTTTTGCTCCAAAATTTTTAATTGGAAAATAACTGCAAAAATGTTTAAAAACTTTTTACAGTTATTATATAATATACAAATTTATGTAAAAAATTTATATAAAATTAATAAAGAAATAACTTAATTTATATTTGAAATTTATTAATTTTTAATATAATTAATAAAAACTCTACAATATTAATATTAAATCATTTTTTAGATATAATTGACCAGTTTTTTTAAATTTAAAAAATAACTTGATTGAGGATCTTCTGGTGTCTTAAAGTACATAAAGGAAGAAAAATAATTGGAAAATTTTATTATATTAAGAACCTATAACTCATTAATCATTTAAAATTTTATTTAAATATCGTAAAATGTTATAATAATAGGATATATATAATATATCTTATTATTATAACATAATATAGGAAATTATAGTACAATTTGAAGCAAACATCATTTAACTTACAAAAACTTATTTTTTAATATATTTAACATATGGTGAGTTCTTGTGTTCTTAATTTATGCAAGAGTTGCATGCATTGAAATTTAAAATAATATAAATATATCTTTATTTAACTTAATGGTAAATACTGTCATTACATTCTGTATAAAAGTTTGACTTCATTTACACTCACAGATGCAAAAAGCCAAGATGAATATTCACACAACAAATATTTCAATATGTCAACTTGTAATGTATATAAAATGAAAATAATTTATATTATATTATATATATTATTAAAATATCTTCTGGTTTCTGGAGAATATATATATCTATTGTATTACAGTCGACCCCCCTATAAGATCATAGATACGTTCCATTTTTTAGGAATCCGATTTCTTACGAGTCGTTCCAATCACAGCCCGACACGTGTAAAGTTTATGGACTACGGCTGATTGAAAGGTTTTCTTCCATAAAATTAATCGATTCTAGACTAATCTGACTCAACATTTCCAAAATACGTATATATTTTTTGGAAATAATCCGTATAAACTACGCTATAAACAAAAAATTGTAGGATTACTTACCGAGTGTCACCATTCGACATTGCCATTGCTCAACATTGTTTTCGTCGCGGAACAGCTCAGCAAAGAGCGGCCGATTTCTAACAACTTATTTTTCTGTGAAAACTTCGTAGAACTTCGGAGACATCATTAATATAAATAATTTTAATCGCCGTTGAATAAGAAATGTTTCTTTCACAAGAAATGTATAAAATTACAGTACTGTATTAGACTTACGGTACCTAATTTACATACTGACAGACGATAGTTAGCGTAAAAATCTCCGTAGCGTGGCGCCACGCTAGACGGCGGAAATTATATATTTAATTATAACAAAGTTACAATAAGTTAATATATAATTATATGTACAGTACCTAATTTATATATAATTTATATAATACTGTCCAGATGATAGAAATCTCTCCGTAGCGTGGCGCTACAGACGGCGGGAAAGTAGTTCGGCTGCCTGATGACGTTTAACGTAATTATAGGGGGTTTTTACTGTTTTTTACGGATACCGTCACAATTTTTTCACAGTTTTATAGGAATCGTAATTATTGGGACTGTAATTATAGGGGGGTCGACTGTATTTTAATTCATTTCTTTCAAAATTACAATTCAATTTGTAAACCTTCTGTACTTTTAAATTAGCATGATCGATTGTTCTAGTTTACTTTTGATTTGTCAGAATATGTATTTGTTGCCTTAAATAAAAGATAAAATTAATTTGAAATGTCAAAAGTTCTGTATTTAACTCCAGGAATACAAGGAAAAATTATAATATTAAAACATATTTTTTGAATTATTTTTTGTTATATGTTCTAACTTTGAAATATGTTTTTAATACAGAAGTTGATAATATGAACTATCATGTGACCATGATAAAATAACAGAATGCAATGTTCTCTTCAATGAACTAGTCTAGAATGACATTACATCAATTTTTTTATAAATGCATAATTGTAAACAGCACTCAACTAAAACCAGTTTAACACAAACATATATAATAAATAAGTAGCAAAAAATAAATAAACAAATACCATAAAAAATACTTCTTGTTAAAAGCATCTTGGTGAATACAAGAAAGCAAACTTTGTATGTCCTGGTTTATGAACTTTAAAGATTGTTATCCTATTTGAAATAGACTTTCTTTGTAGCTTCTTTGGAAAAATGAAATTGAAATTTTTTTTAAGCATATTCATATTTATGGAGTAATACTAATTTCCATAATAGATTATCTATAAGAAGATGATTTATTTAATTTGAAAATAAATATGATTTGTTTTTGTAGATTCAATGCTTGATGGCTACACTATAAACAGTAATTTGCTTACAAACTTTGCTACTCAGAATGTTTTTAAACAGTTGGATAACACAGTAAGTATTAAAATTCTTTTATAATTCCTGTTACATTAAAACACATAATGATAACTTTTAAGTATATGTAAAATATATGGTTTAACAAAACAAACTAAAAGCAAATTAATGTATAATTATTATTCTTTATTATATATTTTAATTTCTAATGCATTATTGTATTATATTTCTTATATATAATTTTTTAATATTTTCTGGAATCTTAGAAAAATGAGAAAATAAAAAAAAATGATTCAAATTAGTGTCAGTTTGTTTATTTTAATTAAATTTTAGTTTTGTTTCTTTATCAGGACTTTCATTCTTAGTTGAATATGTAAATAGAAATTGTAAATAATATTTAGTTGAACCCTTGATAGTTGCATCTATTTAAATTACTACACTACTAATAGTTTAAAATAGAATATGTAAAGAAGAAAATAATAAATTAATTTGAATAATAATTGTCAAAAATATGATTAAAAAGAAAGCTTACAACGTTATTACTTTTATTAAAACTCAAAAACTACACATAAATAGTTAGATTTTTATATAACTAACAAGTAAGATAACAAATGTGATGATTATCTTTAACATGTATTATTATGAATTATTAATATTATATAATTATATTATCAATCTCTGATTATAAAACTTCTTTGAATTAACATCAGGTTATGTACTTGATTACATATCATACAATTCTTTCCAATAGTGTGACAAATAATGAGTAGATTTGTATGCATATAAAAATGCCACATATAGCCACATGCACTTTAAAATGCTTAAAATATGCATTATGCATGTTAAAAATGATAAAGGTATTTCTATTATACTGACATAAAATATTAATAGATTAAATATAGAAAAAATTTTATAATTTAAATAACATAATAATAAAATCTTAATGTTATATTCCATTATTTATCCATTCTGTTATGTATTGATATATCATACAATCATTTATTTTTTATTGTTTAGTGGCAGAAGGATTTTGATGTTTACCACAATTGCAATCCTTCAGAATCAATTCAGTGCCAGATTATCCTGAAGAAATTAACTGAGAAACTTCACAGTTTATTGGAACAATTTCCAGATCATCCAACTTTAAAACAGGTTTTTAAAATATTTATACTTAATATATAAGAAAAGTTTAGCCTAAAATTTGTTCTAAACTAAAACAAAAATAATTTTTCAAGAAATTGGTTTTACTTAGTCCAAGAATTCCCAAAATTTTTTAACTTTTTCAATCCCTACAACGATTCCTCAACCTTTTTTCAATTTGAAGAAGGATTGAAAAAAAGATTTTTCTTTTTTTTCTGATAGAGATAATAAATATATAAATAAATATGGCAAGCCAGTATAATCTACACATTATTTCATAGAAAAGATCTACTTATAGTGTACAAATTACATCATCTTGAACTGTCATATATATGACAATGCGCGAAGCACCCCCTATGCTTTGACACCACAGGACCATCAGGTCAACATTGCGTTGGCAAAGATTGTAATGACTAATTTGTCAGGACTGACACTACTGTGTCTTCTGGGTAGAGACAGAGACCGTTACGTTCAACTTTACACACGAGCGGTTGCATCTGTGGGCAGTTGGACTCGGGATGAAGACTGATTGTCAGGATAGAATCGTGCAGAAACATGATTCCTGCCTTCTTCTCTATTTCAAATGAGCAACAGTCGATGCCATAGAAACTCGGATGGAAAATGACCAGTATATTTGAATGCATGATCGCTGATTGGCCACCAATCATCAGAACCACCGCCAGACCTCCAAGAGAGCAGGGAAGCACTGATTGGTCAATCAATCATGCTGTTCAATCCATATAAAAGGTTGAAGTTTAGGCGGGAAACTTAAGTTCAGTTTAAGCTTGGCTTAGACCATCCTTTCTCAAAGTGGGCGATAATACCCCTTTGTGGGTACTGGAGGCTTTCAGGGGGCAATAGAAGGCTCGGTGATTAAATATGAGTTTTATTTCTTTTCATTGAAACATTCTTTGATCTCAGAAATAGGATATGGGTCACACCCTATCTATCCTATCCATATAATAATGCATGTTTAAACATTATATTTGCAATAACTGTTTTTAAGAGACCTTTTTACATTACCATCTGTTGCGTAAGTTAAAAAATATGGGGGCACTAGATTTTTTTTAATCTCAAAGTGGGTGATGGGTGGGTGATGGTTGAAATAAGTTTGAGAACCTATGGCTTAGACCTTCACGTCAGAAGAGAGTTGGTCAACGGAACTCTGATCAGGAGGCTGTTTAACATTAAGCTCAAAGCAAGGTTACTTTTACGGGGAACTAATGCAGGATACATTCATTGGCGCTATGGATTCGTACACCATTTATTGGACTATTAAGTTTAATAACTTGACTCGTGGGTACCTAAACATTTAGTATTTTAATATTAACTTAATGCAGATGTATACATACCCAATAATATTAAACAGAAAAAATAAATATATTCGATAAAAATCTTTGTTTTAACGAATCTACAATGTCGCGGCTCAGCAAATACGTCAACATTGAAATGAAAATCAGTCTGGTATAGGGAAAATCGGGGAATTACACCGCGAAATGGCAAATTGCGCAGCGGCTTTATTGTGAATCGGCGTAAATTGAGCCAGCATAAACCAAGGGCTATCTGTATACAACTCATCTATTGCACAAATTCCATTAGAATAATTTTTTTTTTTAATTTCCAACAAGCAATAGTCAATTCTATTAATAAATTTGAAATTGACATTAATTTTTTAATAATGGTATTTGTAGATGTTTTACAGATTTCTGATTTTAATCAATGTAGTTTCATGATTACAGAATGAATCAAAAATTGACTTTTTCTGTAGTGACACTACAGATTTCAGACAAAAGATAGAGATGAGACAAGTATACAATTTGATCAAGTGAAATTAGAAAATCAGAACTATTTTATTTAATTATTTATTTGAAATAAATAAATTTAAAATTATTATTTAAATAAATGCTATTGTTACATCAAACATATGTTTACTTTATTCTCTCAGCTAAAATAAATTTATGATTGACAACAATTGTATTATTTTGCTAAAAAATTTAAAATGAATTACTGTGAACTTTACAGTTTTTCAAATAAAATGATCACTTTATATATTTGTGTACATAAGTTCTATATTTATTTTTAAAACTTTGATCATAACAGAGATAAATAGCAAATATCATCAATAATTCTTTCTGTTAAAAATATTAAAAATTGTTGCTTTTTCTTAGCAGATATAAATTGTTTTGAATAAGTTTAACATTATGTATTACAATACACAGTTTTAGGAATAATTCAGTAGAAAAGAGAAAACAATTAAGTTGCAATTGACTTATCTTTCTGTTGTTATTCTGAGTATTGATTTCTATTTATTATTATTATTATTATTTTGCATTTTTCTTATTTGATTATTAAGCTTTTTTATAATCTACAGGTATTAAAAATCATTGATAGAATTCTTAGTTTCCCTGTCACAAGTCCTTTGATGAAATTTGTAACTGGTTTTGAATTAATTCTAACTGTTTCACAGGTATCTTCATTCTTAATTATTAATTTTTAAATTGCTCCTTATAACAATGTTCCTCAAAATTGAAATATTAAAAATTTACTTTTTAGGATTGGGAAATTAATGCACATAAAGGTGTATCCTTAATTAATGAATTATCTGAAATTACTGAGAAAATTATTAGTTGGAGAAAATTGGAACTCAGGTAAATCATTTGAAAAAAAAATAGTGTAATATCTTATTTTATTTTATTTTTTTCATTTTTTATGAAATTGTTAAATATTAGCATTTTTTTTTGTAAAAGATAATTATTACAAAATATGAAAAAATAATATTTTATACTAAATATTAGTAATTTGTTTGAAAATCATCTTTTACTTTTTATCAAGAATATCAGAAGTTTCCAATGAAGTTTATGAAAGTATTAAATTTTCAAGAAAATTATAACAATATTCTGTATATTTTTTATATTAAAAAAATTTGATCAGAAACAAATCATGCATCATTCATTAAATAAATTGAATCGTCAAGTCCAAAAATATCAATTTTCCAAAAAAACAAAAATAACTATGTAGTTTTTTAATGAATAACTTTAGAGTTGCTGTCAACAGAAAAATTATTGCTGTGATTCCAAGCAACATTGTGGTTATCATGAAAATGCCTTGAAGACAAAAAGAGAGAAAATATGATAAAAAATGTGATTTAAACTGGAATCATTTTTTTATTCAGTTACTTATTGCATCCATTTTTAATACTAGAAAAATGTTTTGCAAAGGTTTATTAGGAAAATAACAAAATATAAAATTCAAAAATTCTGTTTTATTTATTATCTTCAACTATAATTATTTCCAAATAATATAGTATAATTGAGGCAAAGTGTTAATGAAGCCTCTTCTATTTAGCTTATAGAATTGAGTTTGTTCTCAAAATTTGATTGGTTGATTTTGATTAAACTTTGTCATTGTACATAATATGAGATAAGGAAATTAAAAATGTAATAAAAATCGAGAGTACATGATTTTATTTTTGAGATACAATGGGGTCAAAGTGAAATGGCCAAGGCCACTAGCATGGGCACACTCAATTTTTTAAATTTATTTTTATTTTATATTCAAGTAAATACTATTGTTTGGAGATCCCCTGAAACATTATTATTATTGACTTTCTAGTGCTTCTATTTAATTCTCAGTTGGTGTTCAGACAGAAAATGAACTGTCTAGTAGTAGAATTCCATCTGTTTTCAGTTTATCTACTGTAGGATTTTTTCAACGTTTTCTTGTGATTTATTTAAATAACTTCTAGATAAGCCTACAAAGTCTAAAGCTTGACTTGATATATTGTAAAAAAACTGGATTCCCATCAGATTTTACAGACTTCAAACAATGAGAAATAGTCTCATCTATAATCTCTTATATAATAAGATATACTAGTGTTTCATTATCATAGACAAATTCTCTATAGTTAGATATAGTGAAAGTTGAATCTTTTAAAACAAATTTATCACATTTTTTTTATACAGATGAGGCCATTAGTCTTATAGTCAGTTATATTCTTACAAAAATGAATTTGAGATTGTACAGTCGACCCTCCCATAACACTGTTGATAATTCCGTTTTATATGAATTCCATATTGTACGAGTCACTTAGATTTTACAAATATGTGAGCCGTTCATAGCCTGGCATACGTATTTGTAAAATCTAAGTGACTCATACAACATGGAATTCATATAAAACGGAATTATCAACAGTGTTATGGGGGTCGACTGTATTGTTTGTTTTCTATATTAGAGGATCATATTGTCATATTCTTTAGGAATGTGACAAAATGATTTTCTAATACATAATCACATTTTTTTTACTGATTTTTTTCTGCTTATGAAAGTTCACTTAGGTAGAAACAACAACAAAACTTGGAATAAACTAGTGAACACGCATATCCATTACATGCATTGCATATAAGAACAGTTTTAAGTTCTACACATAAACCTATCTTCCAATCAAGATGTTCATTTAATATGTTTTTAGAGTATTTTATCAATCAAAGTTGAACTAGATAAATTTATATATTTTAAGTAAAATGTCTCTCCGTTTGGAATGCATGTATGTTTTTGGACTTGGAAGTATTTTTTTTTTTTACTTACCGATTCAATTGATTTTTAGTCTCTATACGTTAAGAGAGTTATTTATAAATTTAAAAGATGAACTAAGCTTACTAAAGAATATAGAAAACAATTATATTTTTATGCTTTGTTTAATGATATAAAACAGTATTGGATAAATCTAGAATATGGTAGACAAACTATTTTAAACAACATTTATTTTACAAAGAGATTAAATTATAAGAAAATACATAAATAACTGATATAATTAAATCCTGATTTAATAATCAATTATATTATACCACTTAGTTTGAACTAGATAATTAAAGCTAATTACAAACTAATTAGCAATTTAACAATATGAAAATATATTTTGTTGTATCTAGTTAATAGTAATGTATTGATTACCATCAATAAATGCAAGACAACAGAATTTTTGTTTCAGTTTTATAAATTTCAGATATATCACAGATTAGTTTAACTGTATTTACTACTTTGCAATTCTTGTTTTCTAGATGCTGGTCTGGATGCTTGGATTCCTTATATAATAAAGCATACAGCAACTGTGCAAAATGGTGGTTCTATTTATATTCTGTTATTTCTCCTATAATTGGTGACGGGGTGAGTAATTACTTAACAGATTTTTAATGCCTTTTTTTTCATTTTAGTAAAATCAAATTTTTATTTTTATTTTTTAGTCTGCTTTATGTTATTTCTCTTTATGATAATGTTAAACATGCAATCATGCAATATAACTGAGGTATTAATTGAATTCTTTCTCATGATTTTCAATTATGCATACAGATTCATCATCATCATTGAAAATTTTTAAATAATTTTTCCTTAGTGACCATGTGACGTTTTATTATCCAATTAGACGTAACTATCTAATGAGCTATATATCTACTCTTTTCAATNTTATTTTTATTTTTTAGTCTGCTTTATGTTATTTCTCTTTATGATAATGTTAAACATGCAATCATGCAATATAACTGAGGTATTAATTGAATTCTTTCTCATGATTTTCAATTATGCATACAGATTCATCATCATCATTGAAAATTTTTAAATAATTTTTCCTTAATATTAACATTAAATATTATTGTTAAATTATATTTAAATTATTTTCTTTTTATTCTGATATAAAATTTATTTTAAATATACATCAAATTTTAGATTATCTGTGCTAATTAGTACATGGATATGCATAGAAAACATAAATGATCCAACAAAGCCCTCTTAACTCTAAAAAAACTGTTTAGAGGTATTAAATCAGGGATTCCCAACAGGGTCAATATAGATTCGCAGAGGTCGATGGAAAAATCATATACTTTTTGTAGTTTTTCAAGAATTTCAGATAATTTTCAACTAATAATAATAATGATATGGAAAATTCATTAAATTATTTAATAATTTACCTGATATATTATGCAAAATCATGGGAAATAAAAATTTTAAGGTGGTCAATTGAAAAGAATATTTCTTATATGGGGGGTCAATGGAAGAAAAGATTGGCAACCCCTTTATTATATGAACTTCAGTATGTATACAGTACAACACAATGCAACTGTCAGTCCAAAGTTTCATAAGCTGAAATGTATATTTAGTCAATAAACATAAAATTTAATTTCTTCTATTTTCAAAAATATCATGTAGAAATTTATATTTTACATGTCTGTAGATAATTATTATATTTTTCCAAATTAATGTATTTTACTTTTAGGACTAGAGGATATTTTTTTAAATATGCTGTTTATAGGATCAACTTTGCCTTGCAAAAGAATATTGCAAGGCTAATGACTCATCTCACTTTCTGTCCTGTCAATTTCATCCCTTAGAATTGACAGTTGAGGAAAGAAAAGGAAAAACTGAATGTTGTTTATGATAATATGTCATTTTACAGTAATTCTAATATTTTGACAATGCATATATAATTTGCACATGGATAATCAGGAGTTTGGTGTATTTCAAAATGGAGAAATCTGAAAACATATTTGTACTAAATAAAACAGCTTCTAAAATATAAAAGCCATTTCTTTGTAGATTTAACTAAAATTCTAATTAAATTTTACAGACTAAAAAATTCTCTTTTCATTGTAATATGACGTGAAAAGAAGAATTAAAATTTTAGGATTCCAGATTATATTTTATAAAATTTTATTATTTCATATTTTTAAATTTGTTACAAAATCAAAATAGTCTTGCAACGAATTTTTGGCAATTGTTACAACTATACATATTTTTTGATAAACTTTATGTTTTAATTTAAATATTTTAAGAAAATTAAAATTAAATGTTTGTCTAATTTTTTTCATATTCTATTATTTTCTATTTTCCACACAGAATTTAAATGAAGAAAAATGGCCAGATGAGACAAGAGATAATTTTATTGGTACTCTGCAGCAATTTGTAGAACATTCAACAGTAGGCGAGTTTCAAGCACGGATAGATTTGTTATATACATTTATGGAACATATTAAACATTATTTGTCATCTCATTCACAAGGTATTTTTCTTCCAATAAATTTTATGAAATAATAATACAGTTTTATTAATTAATTATTCAATGTGCAATTCCTTGTGATATTATAGGGCAACTGAATGATGTGCAGCTTTTCTCACTAAACCGGCTTTTACAGCTTTCATAAAAGAGAGAAAAATATTACTTCTCTTCACTTCATTTTCATTAGTGCAGGTTCTGTGGTAAAAACCATTGGTTTAACAGAATGCTTCCTTGGAACAATATTTACTAATTATTGAAATTCACAAATAAAAATTAAACTACTAGTTCTCTAAGTTTAGAGAAATGATACAAAATAATTTTCCTAAAAGATAGTAATGAGGAAATTATGATATTTGTGGTTGACAATACTGAAAAGTTTTAGGTTTGTTTTTATACTACTAAGTATCAAACTTTAGATTTAAATACTTTGGGTCTTGCATTTAAATATTCCGTGTTAAATAGAAATATGTAAGACTAAACACTCATTATTGATCTTTTTATGACTATCTACACATGGATTATTCAACAACCTTATTGATGTATTAAAGCCAAGCTAAATTCACTGTTTTCTGTTATGTCCTTAAGTTGCCCTCATTTTTATTTTTGTCACTAGATATCATTATTACTTTCCTGAAATTGTCTGGTTGATTTGTGTGTTCAAGATTCACAATTTTATATAATTCAGTTCTAAAAGCAAGAAAATTTTCCAACATAAATATACCTTATATAATATAATATCAGATAGTTAATCCTAGTTATTAAAGTAAACAGTTGATTTTATTTCAAAAATAATGTTTTCAACTTTTGAAGGACTCACTTTCAAATAGTAATATGAATAATAATAAGAATGAATATAAATGTTTAGAATTATAAATTTATTTATAGACATGCATTTGAATTTTTAATAGAAATGTTATTCTAATAATTAAAAGTTTAAAATGTTAAAGATTCTTTTTTTATAGAATTTTGTTAATCAGTTTTATCTTTTAGTTGTTTATAACTTTTGACATAAAAAATTTTTGCAACTAAATAAAGAAAATTGGTCATAATTTATAATTATTTTTTCAGCCGACTTATGCAATATTTTGTCCAATATCTATTATTATTACCATCAGTTTGTGATTTCTGTTCATGAGAAGATATCTACAGATAGAAAAGTTATTGAAAAAGAAATTAAGGTAAATATAAACAATATTTTAATATCATGGATAATAATGTTTTTATTACTTTAATTAAAATAAGTTTTATTTAATGTTAAACACTAAATTATATTGGCAACCTGAAAGTTACATTAAAGTTTTAAAATTCAAAAATTTGTACTGTTCACATTTTTATTACTTTATTTCATTTTTGAAAGTCTTTTTTTTTCTTTTTTTTGTCTAATATAAAAAAAAGAATAAAAGGTTTAGTAAAATTAAGTTTTAAATATACAGGCCTCATATACATTCTAATTTTCATATCTTTTAGTAGGAGAGTGGGAAATACTGTGCTTTTTAAGAAATTGTCCTACTTTTTAACAAGTTGTAATACAGGATCAATTGTTTTTTTTAAGTGATATGTAGTATTTATTCTTCACTCTGCTGTTGATTTTTACATTTGTATATGTGATCCAAAATCTTGTAAACCACTGAAAGATAAACTTGAAATTTATAGATAAAAAAATTTAAACAGTAATTCTAGTATTTGATAAAGTTCCAATGAAAATCATGAAGGAAAAATTTTTGCTCTAGATATTTCTAAACTGTTGTACTGATTTTTCATTAAATTAGAAGAATGTTTACTGATATTCAATTAACAATATTTACTCTAGTTCCAATATATTCAGTAAATTATCTACTTTTATTTGCACGACTTTGATTTTGTATACAGTGGTATCTCAGGATACGAAATTAATCCGTTCTGAAACTGAGATCGTATCATGAAAATGTCGTAAGGTGAATCATTTTTTCCCATACGATTACATGTAAAACCAAATAATTTGTTCCAACACGAAAAACACACTCAAATTAAAGCTAAGTTGTACATTAAAAAAAAATAATAACTGTAGTAAGGAAAACACTGAAAAATGCATTTTGTAGTTGTAAATGTATAAATAACCATAATAGAATAATAATTGATAAAAAAAAAAAAGTAGTTTATTTGCACTTTACCTTCGAGGATAGACCACAGTGGAGGTGTAAACTGATGGCGGAAGAGAGGGAGAATGAATATGATACTAAAACTTAACTGTCATAACATAATGTAACAATAACTTAGAAAAGATAAAAAAAAAACTAGTGTTGTTTTATATATATTTTTTAAAATTTTTATTCACTGCTTTTTGCTTTTTTTCCTTCACTTTCACTGGATAGAGGTCACTTTGTAAAATACCTCTGCAAAGAGATTTGGCTTTGCCTACTTTTTAAAATGTTTCTAAAATGACTTAGGCAAATGTCATTAAACTGAGCAACAATATGGCCAGTGTGAATCTTTTGGGATGTTTCTTCTCAATAAAATCAGTCACTTTCTAATAATACCTCAAGATTTCCTTTATCGAGCGAGATCATTCCACAACAAAGCAAACACGCGGACTGAGACCAATGAACAGAAGTAAATAAAAAAATGGCACGGCGAACTAATGTAACATCGTAATGTGAGTTTTTGTTCGTATCGTGGAGCAAAAATATATTCGAATTTCATGTCATATCCTGAAAATTTCGTATGCTGGGGCGTTTGTATCCTGAGGTACCACTGTATATTGTTAGCTCTAATAAAGCAGAAAATTTGCTGAGTTTATTAGTATCATTTTAATATACAGTGAAATTTTATTTCAACATTTCTTGGTTGATTGTTTATCTTGACTATACATTCATGTTTACTAGTCTTATCTGGACTATCTATAAAAACAATTTAGCATTTCTTGATTTTACATTATACTTCAGTTTTAAGGAGTTGAAATCAAAAGGTAATTTTGATTTAACATTTACAAAATAGGCAATAAATGAGGTGATTTTTGGTTCTCTCTGGGCCTGAGGAAATATTTCCAGCTCTAGCCTCTCAATAACGCCGAGTATAATTATACATTTCGATTAATATTATATATAATAGAAAATATTTAATAAACCAATAATACAGAAAAATTAGCATATATATACAGGATGAGTCAAAAGTCTATTGCACTTGCTTTGTTCTAAAAGATTTCAAGGTCAACAAAAAAAGTCCTATCTAATTCTCCATACATGACTTCCTATGTAAATTCCATTAACAAAAATTAATACCTCTTCACTACTTTTGGAATGAAAAAGATGCAAGGAACTTTTGACTCACCCATATGTGTATATAACTGCTATATTATATAACAGAAAAACAATTTGATATGTAATAAAAATTTCCATACCTTTGAATTAATAAAAAGTTTATAAGTGTTCATATTGGAATTGAGCAGTTATATATACATCATATATTTTCTTCGTTTATGTAATATTTTGTATTAATAATCATCAATACATAATTTTTCTATAAAATAAAAATATTATAATAATAAAATTTATATTATTTTCATATATGTATGTATGTGTGTATATATAGCTTTTAATTTATGTTATAATCTTAACATTAAAATATTTTATTTTGTTAAAAACATAGGAATTTATAAAAATAATTAGATGGAGTGATATCAACTTTTGGGCAGTGAAACAACAAGTAGAAAAATCTCATCAGACACTTCATAAACATATGAAACAATATGAAGTAAGTTTTTAGATAATTAACTTCTATATACAGGTTAGTGTTTGTTAGTTTGAAATTCAGGGAATGAAATATTTGCGACTTCAAATTATCCGAGCTTTACATATTTTTGTACATTATGCCAAATGCCAGTTAACTGATGTAATTTGTTAAGCAAATGGAATATGGCTACTTATACAGAATACTATTTTTGTTAATTAATAATAATAAACTGCAAGTAAACAGTATGTGTCCAGTGAGAACCTCACAGGTCACCATATAGATTTTATAAAAAGTAATGCAGAATTTCTCAAAATGTAGTCAAAATTATTTTTAAAGTGGCCCAGAAAGTAGTAAGTTGCCCAAAAGTAGTATCATAGAATCTTACAAATATCTCAATCTGCTACTTGTAACCCAATCTTGCAATCCTGAAACCCAGCATATTTTATGAAATAAGAGAATAAATGGTAAGGTAACACTTGAAAATATGTTTCTTGTAAAAGCAAAGCCATATTGACCAGATTAGAGTTGTTCTTGATCTATTGTTCTCTTATAGAACAGAAGCACTTCAATCTAAATAAACAAGTTAACATATGCAATTGACAGTTTGGATAGAATTTTCACTTCAAATTTCAAAGTAGCTGTATTCCGAACTTATCAAATTCCTTAACATGTAAATCTCTACATCCTTAGCTGGGACAAAAGTACAGTTACGAACTAATTGAATTTCAAACTATCTGAGTTTGAATTAAATAGGACTTCCTGTATCTGTTTTTATTATATGTGAGATAATTTCTATTGCAGAAAGTTTTAAATCAGTCTGCACAACCTTATTTTGAATTATGTAAAAATGTTGAATTGGAAGAAGAGATAAAGATGGAAAGGTCTGAGCTTAATTGCTCTGATTTTATATCTGCTTTAACACTACAAGTAAGTTTCATACTTAACTTTTAGCGTCATCTTTTTATTTATTATATTAATTTTACAATTCATTTATATGCTTATTTTAAGTTAAAACAGCTTTAAGATAATACTTGAAAATGAAAATATATTTTAGCAAATTTTTCTTTAATATTTTATCTGTTATTCAATTAAAGAGATGATAATATTTTATTACAAATAAGATTTAGTATAAATTAAAGTAAAAAAATCATTAAACTGTAAGTGTGTAACCCATTTGCTGATTTTCTTTATATTACCATTGTCAATTACTATATTCTTTCTCAAGAATCCAAGATTTTTTGATATATATATATATAAGCAATGTATGTCATTCAATTTTTATTAATTTTTCCAACTTCTTTCTAGAATGTAGATTTATCTAGTTGGAAATTATTTTCTGTTTCCTATTCAATTTTTTGAAATTTAAGAAACTTTAGTTTTATTCAAAATACTTAATTACATGCAATAATTGATGAATTCTCAGTTATTTTAATATAATATATACTTTTTTTTTTAATTTTAGCAATATCTTGGAAATAGTTCATCCCAAATCGAATTTTGTCAAGATTATTATAAAAAAATGAGAAATCTCTGTAAAAAAATATATAAAGCATCAAAAATATTTGAGAACATCAATTTTCTAGAAGACTTTGCAGGTAAAATATACTCTTGTTCACAATTCTTTAGTTTGCAAAATTAAAAAAATATTAAAATATTGAAATGTAGATGTCATATTAGCACAAAAACACACAACATTTAGACGTTTAACTAGTTAAACGTCTAAATTACTCTTTTAATTAATATAAAGAATTTATAAATACAAGGTAGCCCAAAGTCTATGAAGTGACATTTATGAATAACAAAGAAAAATTCCATTCAGTTTTAACCATTCTGAAAATAATCTTTAGAAGTAATGAATAAGAATTTTGAGAATTTTAGATTTTTTTTTGTTTTGGTTTTAATTTTTGAGTTTTTGAAAATTAAAAATTTTTTTTTAAGTTATATGCCATAGGTCTTATCTTTGTACACAAGATATAGTCAGATAAACTAAACTAATGAATTTACACATTACATACAATTGTGAGAGATAGGGAGCTGTCATTTTCTCATAAATCAAGCCCATGCTTCACACAATCATCATTTGTATTTCCTTCCTGCATTACAAGTTGTGTGGTAGAACTAAATTTGTATAGCAATATCAGAATAAGTTGGCAGATAAGAAATTATATATATACGAAGCATGAGTAAGTATTCATTTTTATTATTGAAGACCAGGCAGTCAATAAGAGAAGGCATGTTGAAATTCTCAACCTTTGTGAAGTTATACACAAAAGCAGCCCAGTTTGTGGAAAGGACAGAACTGGATCCTTTCACCTTGATAATGCTCCCATGCATTTGTCATTTTTGGTTAACAAATAGCTAACAAAGAAGGACATGGCAGTATTTCCCTAATCTTCTTACTGAAACAGATGGTTGACCAAGGCAATAAAAGTGTCAGCCTTTTATTGCCTTAGCCTGGAAACTAAGGTTTTCTTAGATGACAAACCCACAATGGATATGAAAAATGCTTTCTTATTAGGACAAAGTATTCAAAACTTAAAAAATCTTACTTCTGGACTCTCCTGGTGATGTCTCCATAAAATTATCTGTTCCCTAAAATGAAAGAGGAGCTGAAGAATTACAGTTTTCAATCAATAATGGAAATATAAATTACAGTAATGAGAGCCTTTAAAAATTTTGCAAAAATGGTTTCTAGAACTATTTTGACAAATAGAATTGGTGCTGGCAAAAAGTGTAACTGCAGAAGGAGCTTACCTTGAAGGTGATGTGATATAAAAGTTTCTCTGTGTTGTGGAATAAAACCTACACTAAAAGTTCATATTTTGCTCTACTTCATAGATATATTATGTAAGAAATAGTAAAACATTCAAACATAGTTTATTTTAAAAGTCAACTACAGTGGGTGATCAGTTAATGAACAGTTCGGACTATGAACAAATCAAATAAAAATCTTTTGTGAAAGTATTCATTATGTTCGGACAACAAACACAAGAAGTGACGTAAAATAATGAATATTGATTTGTCTTTCCTTGTCTTCAAACAACAATTCAAAACTTTTCAGAGTACAGGAGATGTTGACATCGACACTCAACCCAGTACATACTAATCGGATAGTATTCCTCTGAACTTTGAGACTCTCCCTTGTAACTCCAGTCTTTTATTTTTCTGACAGAAAGAATTGTTTTTAATAGTATTTGCAAGATTGTTGGGTGGGCACTCTTTAAGTTTTGTGTCAGTTTTTATTTTCAAAAGGTGAGAGTATAATAGCAAAGATAGAGAGTTGGGTAGATGTCTGATGTTGCTGGGCAGTATGGCTTGAACAGGTCTACAGTAGGCCACAGTTCAATCTTATCTAAGAAAGATACTGTATAATCAAGAAGACTTAAGCAGCTAAAGGAGTAATAAAAATTACATCTGAGAAATAAAGAACACTGAAGAACTCATAATGGAACCTGAAACTGATCTGATGACAAAAGAATGCCAAGAACTCTTGAATGAAGAACACCAAGAAATGCAGCAAGATATGTTTTCTACTGAAAAAGAGGATTAATGCAGACATCTGCTATTAAAGATCTTTTGAAAAAGTGGGAGGATATCAGAACAACAGTCTTAGAATGGTATCAAAACCAGGTTGAGGTTAATAGGCTTGGGGATCTCTACAACGACAATGCTATTAATTACTTCCAAAAAATCCTGAAGAAGAGAGAAAAGCAATTGACATTGTGGGGCATTAAAGAATCTGTCCAAACAGAAAAAAAACATGACTGATAAAAATGCAAGACTGTGTATATATGTATTTTTATTATTACATATAAATAAATGTAGTAGGAAAGTGTATAATTTTTTATTTTTTGGCATCTCCAGAATGAATTAATCACATTCCCATAAAAACCTATGGTAAATCGATAATCAGACAACGAACAAAGTCTTGGAACGGATTATGTTCATTAACTGATTACCCACTGTATATGTGATTAGAATGTAAAAACTGATGTAGAAAACATTGAGAATCCATCAAATTATGAAATTTTTTAAGCTTAAAAAATTTTAAATATTAACTTGTAACACAATACATTAAAGATGATATTGAGATGATAATTTTTTAATTATTGTGTACAAAAATAAGACATTTATTGTATTACATATATAAATTTGTCAATCAAAAGTTCAAGTATGTTTAGTCAGTCTTTCACAGTTCATAGTAAAAGANGTTTGAAAAAAATCTTAATTTTTATGAATTGTTAAATTTATATAAAATTCCTTGAGAAAAAAGTTAAATACCTTCTTGTAAGGATACTGGAAAAATGTATCAATGACTCACAAAACCTTTGAATATCCAGTAAAATTATTTGATATAAATTATGTAAATTTTTTTGTAAAATATCAATTACATATTTAATGAAGGTTATTTTATGTATCTAAATACTCCTTTCTTATTATAATACATTTTAATAGTAAAATATTGTTAAAATAAGTCACATAAAATAATAAAATTTTTATAAGTGTATATATTTATAAATATGTATTAACTTAAAACTTTTTCATTAATTCTAATTTGAATTTTTAATTTATTTAATTTCAGGAGAAATAATAACATCTGCTCATGACTTGCAGTTGTTGAATGTATCAAAGGTACTAATTGTTTTATATTTTAATGAATTTAGTTTTAAAAAATGTCTATGCCATTTTATTTATATAATAAATGAAAAATCTACAATTTTAACAAAATTCTAATATTGATTTGTTAGTTTAACAAATCAATATTAGTTTTCTGGCCGCTCAAGAACTTGAGCGGCCAGAAAATATATCTTTTATTAAATGAAAAGGTAATTTTTGTGTAATGAAAAGGATATTTTCTGGCTTTTTGAGAAGTTGAATGTTAACCAATCAATTTATGTATAAATTGATTAGTTAATTAATAAATAAATTGATATATTTGTTTAACAAATATCTAAATGAGAATCGAGGGGGCAAACTCTGTATCCCTCTTACTGGCTTCTCTGTCAGAGGATGACTTATGTGGTAAGTGAGGTTGTGACAAGGTGTTGGCTGTACTCAAGGATGACACGTAATTAAGCATAAGAATATCATATTTAATAAACTATAAAATTATACACTGACTACAAAAGCAAATAGATACAAAAGATGGAAATAGTAACAAAATTCCTAAGTTGCGACAATGATTACTTCATTCTTGTTGATAGACCGTCTAAGTTCTGGACCTTCCTCGGTCCCAAAATCCTTTAAGTTAAACTAACCTCAATCTAGCTTATAACCAAGAGAGAGAATTTACAAATAGTCTAAAATAATATCTCTTGGTTCCCGATCTCATTGGTAAAAATGATCATGGATCAGTGGAGTTGACCAGTAGTCTTCCTTTCATTCAGGTTAGGATCATCTTGAGAGAGAGATGGCAATTATGGCGACGAACGGAATGGCGGTATGGGTCTGGTGTCTCCCGTTGATGTCTGCCCAGAGGACTGTGTCCAAGCCCTTTTTTATACCCATTTTCAAGAGAGCTGACTAGTCTTATGTATGATGCAACCTGTTCTAAGTTCAATTTGTGTCTGGGTTTTATTTATGTTAATTGTCAGAAATCGAAGCATTTCTTTAAATTTATTATTACCTCTTTCTATCCATTATGATTACTCATTCTACCTCATAAATTTGATAACAGCTGTCAAACCAACTGAATTAATTGCTGGAGATGATTAAGGTCAGAGTTTGTCTTGCGACCTTAGTAATAATTGTTACTTTGTATGATCTGATTGGCTTTATCGATTTCACAATCAGATGAAATAGGAAGTGTATGGGTGGGTTCAGTTCAGATTCCTTTCGTCCAGTTGACCTTTTGATATTTTTCCACTGCATCATAGAAAGGATTCTTAATTATTTCTTTTTCTCTCCCCTCCCATTCAGATTCTCACATATATATCAATTTAATTCCAGAGCCATCACCTCCAGAATTGTCTTTCTAATATTGTAAAGGAAAATAAATAAAAGAAATTTATAATTAAAAATCTATATTATAATTCTATCTTAAACATATTTAAAATTAGATAGATATATTATTCCCAATCACACATTTTTTCTTTTTTTATTGTTATTGTTGATGATGATGAAAATTTATCATTTATAACAAAAAAGCATATTAATTCATAAAAGTTTTTAAAATTATATTTAATTATTTTAATTAGCAATGAAATTGAGTTTTATTTATTTTTTCATACTTATAAATTTAAATCTTAAAGCATAATAAATTATAACTAATAGGAAAAAGTTCTTATGAGTTAACATAATAGAAGACAGTACATAAAAAATGAAATTACTCAGTCTGGACTGAAATCATTTAGTTAAAACCATTCAATATAATAAAATATAATTAGTAACATTTACTAATATACAAATTTATCATATAAAATTATCTGTTATAAACAATTAATATTAAATATTGGTTAATGTACCTTAGTTTTGTGTAAATAATTGAATTATTTATTGTTGATAATTGAAAACATTTTTCTGTCATTAAGTATCATAATATCATGAGAAATATGAGCCAGAAAAGACCTAAAATATCATATTTCTCAAGTTGTTATAAACCCCATACAGGAAAATGTCATTATAATGAATACTGGTATAACAAATTTATTTTTATGTATTTTAATGTAAAAATGTTCTATTTAATGAGTATAACTCTAATGCAAATTTCAATGTTAATACCAGTTCAATAATTTTTTGAACAAAGTGGTCATTTTACAGAAGCCTGTAAATGTATAAATTAGTTCTCTTTATTTTAATCAAAAGAAAACTAATTGGTACTGATTTGATATTTATCTGGTAATATGAAATTTAATCATAATTATCAATTTAGTTTGCAGTGTAGTGTTATCATATAATTATCAAAAACAATAATATTGGCTTTAACACTGTACAAAATGACATTGACCCTTTGCGATATCACAACAAAGCATCCCTTCCAGTTGCAACCCTTTGTCAGAAAAGTGTGATTTTTTTCTTGTGTCCGTAAGTGAGAAAGCAACTGAAAGGGACATTTCATCAAGATATCTCAGACATCTATCCAATGGGCTGTGACAAATGAGCTAACATTACACTTGAGGCTTTCTCTGCTTGCTTACAAGACCTCCAGAAATGTTGGCAATTGTGTATAGATAGCCAAGGGGACTACTTTGAAGGAAGCTACAATCATTACTTGGTAATTGCAATGTTTTATTTTTTACGAGCTTTGTCCTGGAACTTTTCTGACAAAGAGTGTATTTTGAATGTAATCAAAATAATGCAAAGCATGTGCCATTTTCTGATAAAACAGAAACATATACCAGATAGCATATTGGAATACTGTGACCATTTAACAACATTCTATGGTTATTCTAGAGAGGAACACATGCTTATCATGTGTTGCTGATATTTTATGCATCAACTGTTAGTTTAAGACAGTAATGAAAATAAACTCTAATTACAAACAGAGCCAACTAGATCATTAAATATTAAAGATAAGCCTGCCATTCTCAAAGAACAGATCCAAGTCTGAGTTGGCTCATTTTTCAGGAATAAGTTGATCCTTATATTTAAGGCCACATGCTTATCAGCTGCTCACCTTGTTGTAGGCTTGGTCAAAATCATGATGGGTATGATTAAAAGACTTTTTTAATGCCTACAGAGAGGAGAGAACAAAAAAATAAAAAAGTTATGAATGCAAATATGTTTTGGGGATTCCACTATTTTGTTAAACTGATATTTTGCAATACTACATTTGCAAGCTTGTATGAAATATTTTTCATCATTGCGCCAGATATTAAACTAAAGAATTTTATTAATAAAAACTTATTTTTAATGTCAGTTACAAATTTGATTTATTTTTCAGGATGCTGATGAAGAACGTAGAAAAAAAGAAATTCGTAGTATTCGTCTTCAAAAACAGAAAGGACTTTCTGATTTATTTAAAGCTTTAACATCAGTTGGTATGTATTAGAACGGAGATGGCAAACGTGCCCAAACTGGCATGTTGGGAGAAATTATCTGACATGCAACATATGTGTTTTGGTTTATTTTTTACTGTTAAATTTCAGTTTTATATAATAATGCTTTACTTAATTATCTTTAGAAATGTTTATGCATGCTGAAGTTTTATTTAGAATAAATGTAAATATGATTATGCTAACTATATAGTACACAACTCAAAAAGGTTTGATATCTGTGTATTAAAACATTATAATTTCAAATTCTGTGTTGTGTTTATTTTGAATAATATATTGTCTAAAAGCTGTGTATTATTTATAATATATGAAATTAGACATTATAAATTTTTGAGTAGCTGATTTAGAGATTTATGTAAATGAAATTATTTAATTTAACAGTTCTTTGTAAATACTGAATGTATTATACACATACAATAACAAAGTTTTTCAGCAAGAAATATGTGTATAGTAAATCAATAATCATTAAACTAAAAAATGACTCAGTATAAATATTTATAATTAATTAAGTCATCAATTTTTATAATATACTTTATTATTCAGCTAATAAAGTATATACTGTTTGTGGAGAGTAATCTGTGTAGAAGATGAAAACGTTTATTTTTTTAAATTAAATAAGCATTAAAATTGACTAAAATGATGTAAATTAATAAAATAATCCATTTTCAGGATTGTCATTCAAATTAGGAACAGTATATTGGAAGGATATCAATATAAAAAATTTGTTATCCCTTTCATTTTTTGATGTTGAAACAGCATTAAATTCAATGGTTTATGAAAGGTAATGTGTTTATAGTACTAATAAATAGAATAATTATCAATCATATTCATTTAGAAATAAATTATGTTAATGTATTTTTTTTAATTTTAATGTTTATAGGAAGGGAGACAAGATTTGGAAACATAATTCAAAAAGAATCCACAATTACTTTTATAGATCAATTTTTAAATTTTTCTCCTTAGCAACAGCATTGGAATCACCAAACAAAGTAAGATGCAGTAAACTCCATTTTATAATTATCAAGTTTAAAATTACTCAAAAATTTAAAAATAAAGTAATGAAATTTATAACTGCTTTATTTTTGTAGCTAATTTTTTAAAAATGTTTACTAGAAATTTTCTGAGTAATACAAATACAGTAGAGCGTCGATTTTCCGAAAGTCAATCATCCGAAAGAATTCCAGTTGGCAAATTTAAATTTTCGCCAGTGCTGTGGCACTTCAATCTTTGGCTATGTTTTAGGGTACTCAAATATTTTTCGTTTTTGATACTAAATTAACATATGAAGTATAATTTTTTATTATTTTTATATTTTTCAATATATTTATTTTGTTTGTACAAAATAAAAAAATAATTTTTAACAATACAATAGTCTTTGTTAAGCTTAACATTGACGAAAATTCAACGCGAAACGACACGCAATGGAGAAAAATTTCAAAATCGGATACATTAAACTTTTTTTTCGTATGTAAATCAGTTATCCGAAATATCAGTTATCCGGACAACCCCGGTCCCCAATTGATTCGGAAAATCGACGCTCTACTGTATTTTTCAAAATTAATTAATTAATTAATTGTCATAATGTAATGAAATTTTCAAAATGAAAAAGCTTTATTTAAATTTGTATCTCAAAAGTTTATTTTTATGGAAACAAAATTAATTTGAGTATTATGAAATCATCAACAAATATTACAAATATTTACTATATGTTTTGTTTAACTATTGTGATAAAATTATTGGTCGTAAATAAATGAAAGTCAATTAGAAAGGTTTATGTAAACATGTTTGATTCAATAAGTATCATTTTTCAATAAGAAAATCATAATTTTCAATTAAATAAGTTATATAGTTCAATAAAACATTACAAAACAATTCTTATAAGTCTGACACATAATCTCAGTGCTGTGCTGTGTCTCCTTTTAAGGTTATTTAAAAACTTATTTTTTTCTCTTGATTAATAATTTTATTATTTTCCAATTTTATGAGTGTTACAGTCAAAGCTGGATCTCTTGATTTGACACTTTTATGATATTTTTAACACATAAGCTCAAGTATTGCTTGGGCCTCACAATTAGAACAAATGTTAAACCTGAGGTTTAACATAATTTTGAATGTCCATTAGAACAAAAGATTTAAAATTTCGAGCTTTGCTCGTATGAAAATGTTAGTTTATTTTATTAAAACTTACTTGAAAAGTGAGAAAGGTGTTATTATTATTATGTTGGGTTTAGTGGGTTATACTCGGTTGATACAGGTGGCTGTGTACTATGACTTTTTTAGTTGCTATGTCTTGACCAGAGTCAAGACATAGCAACTAAAAAATAAAATTAAATAAGTGTGTCTGTATTCAGGAATTTCCTAACAATATGACATGTATTCAATACAGTGGCTTTCTGTAGTGTTATGTATGTATTTCTATTCAATTGTAATGTTCCCAGGCTTTTGTGTAGTGTGTGTGATATCACACCTGTACAGGAGAGAACATAAGCACCCTATCCATCCTCCACAGATGTCTTATTTCCTGGGCAAGTTCTGTGTACTTGCTAATTTTTTCAGTGAATGTGTTTTGTATATTGTGAGTGTTTGGAATGGATATGATTATTATTATCTAGAAGTTCTAGCTTGCAGCACAGATTATTTTCCATCTTTTGAACTAAAAGAAATTATAGAAAGAAAAAGGACATATCAAAAAGATGATTATTTTATAAAAACTTAATATTATAGAAAAATATAGTAATATTTAATTTATCTTTTTAATAGGATTTGAGTCCAGATAATATTGAAAGATGCAAAGGATTTATAGGACATTTGCTATATCTTATTTGTAATCAGCAACAACAAATTAAAGAAAATGTTGAATCTATTCTTAATATAAGGTAAAATTTATTTTTGCATAATTTCTTTTAAGTTTAGAAATTTTTAGTTTTAATATTTTTTTTATTATTATTATTTTTAGAAATTTATTAAATAATCTCAAGAGTCAAGCTGAAAATTTTCAAGATGTACATGAAATGTTACTTCCATCTCAAGATATTTTGGAAAAATGGATGGTAATATTTATTAACAATTTTAATCTGAATTTTTTTTACTTTATATATGTATGCATATTACAATTATACAAATATATACTACTAGCAGACCCCGCCACGCGTTGTTGTGGCTCAAAGTGTATAAATGTATAACACTTCCCCCGTGTGGGGGGGAAATTTTTCGAAAAATTTCTTTTTAGTGTACATTCTCTTGGCGTGCCCTATTAAAACGGAATCAAAAACACAAAAAATTGCATCTAAAATAGTAGAAATAGAAGCAGAGTTCTTTATGGTAAGCCTTAATCCTGTTCATCTCCCCCCAGTGGGGGGAATTTTGACACGTATATTATATAAAAACACATGCGTATTCGAATGCAGCATTGTGTGAAAATTTCAAAGGAATTGGTAGGAACAAACGAACATTACATTTTTATTTATATAGATAGATAGATGATGATCTACTTTAGTCCATCCTCACAGAAAAGCAAACTTAGGGCGTCATACTCGTAGCGCCATCTGTTGGACATATAAGCAAACCCTAGACAAAAATCCATTGTAGTTTTATTTAATTAATAAAAAATCTGCAGGTTTGATTAGTGGTAAACATTCCGGGGGTCATAAAGATGCTACAGTTAAAATTTGGTAACGATTGGTTCAGTAGTTTTCACGGTTAGTGGTCACAAACGAAAAATACGTTGTCTCTTTATATAATAGTATAGATATGTATTTGTTTCCATAGTATGAAAATTTCATTTCATATCAAGCCAAAATCCTAAAGCCACATTTCATATTTTTGAAAGACTATAAAGTATATTCTATAGATTAAAATCTATTGTTACAAGATTTTTACATACAATTTCCAGAATATTTTTGCAGTTATCTCATTTATTATCACAGTGATTTGTCATAATGTTGCAGATCTTGTAGTAAACCTAGCAAAAATTTTCTTTAGTGTCTATCTGATTTAGCAACATGTGCTATTACTTTTATTGTTCATAAATGAAATTATCAGATTTTTTTAATAATATGAATGTGCTTATTCAAATATATTATATAATTATATAAAACTAATTAAATGATATTTTTGTTTCTTTTTAGATAAATATGAAAAATCTTGCTTATCGAACAACAACAAGTCTTCAACAGTTTATAATTATTTTAGAATGTTGTCCTGATAAAGTGGAAAACTCTTATATTCTTTCCAATTCTGATAGTCTTCCATCCTTGATATTAGCAAATAAAAATGATGATATGTGGATTCAAATATATGATAAAGCCAATGAAAGTTTGAAAACAATCCAGAATCTTATTAACCAGTTTCCAAATAAATCACTTAATTCTCTGTATACATTTAAAGATTATGAGTTTATTTCTAATGCATTTAAAGTCTTTATAGAACTTTCTTTAAACTTTAAACTCTTAAAAAAATACATTGAGGCTGATGATAAAATAAACAATTTTAGTTCCAGTTTAAATTTTATTTTGGATGAAATCAGAAGGTTAGAATTAGATTNTTCTTGTCAATCTAAAATGTTTACCTTGTTAACCTACCTATATTTATCATGCGTAATCTTTATGTAAATTTAAATGTTATATAAATAATATAGGATTTTGTCTACAAAAATCTTCAGTATAAAACAAACTCCAGTATATGTATTAGTTTATTAATTTAATGGATTGAAGTAAATAATATATAATTGAGTGCGCCACCGCCCGATAAGCATAGAGATCTTAATCTTATCTTTCCTCTTACTAGTTGTGTAACGCTGTATCGCCGTTTTAGTCGGAGCGAAGCTGCTCGCACCTTCAATTTCTATATTATGAGGAAAAATACAGCGTTTTAAGGGGATTATTGGAAACAGTTTACCATAGATGAAAGGTCCCTGATAGCTATCGAATTTCACTAAAATAAACACAGGAAGAGCTGGGGGGCAACCATTAGGAGCATATATATTGTAGCATATAGTTTCTAGTAAATCCTTGTGCTCATAAGTTGACTCTCGGCATGATTTCGGCCGAAATCATGCCTTTTAATTCTCAGCATTATTCGGCCGAGAATTAAAAGGCTCATCAGATCAAAATGTTCTTTTCTTTTAGAACGACCCTCATATAATAAATTTAATAATTCTTCATTCTTTTTAAATAATATACCAAGGATGACCAAACCTTGTCACAATAGGAGTCATACACTGCGTATTGGAAATAGGCAGTGTATGACTCCTATCTTGACAAGAGCCACATCCTTAATATGCCAAATGACTGCTGGATTAAATTATGTGGAAATTAATTAAAAATAATAGCCTAATTTGTCACTACAGGCAGGCATTAGGCACCATCTCTATTGCCAAATTGTTTGCATCTTCTAACGTGATAGCATTTGGCCTTGGTTGGTGTCTAGCTTATAGTATATCAGGTTTAGTGATATTNCAGATTTTTTTAATAATATGAATGTGCTTATTCAAATATATTATATAATTATATAAAACTAATTAAATGATATTTTTGTTTCTTTTTAGATAAATATGAAAAATCTTGCTTATCGAACAACAACAAGTCTTCAACAGTTTATAATTATTTTAGAATGTTGTCCTGATAAAGTGGAAAACTCTTATATTCTTTCCAATTCTGATAGTCTTCCATCCTTGATATTAGCAAATAAAAATGATGATATGTGGATTCAAATATATGATAAAGCCAATGAAAGTTTGAAAACAATCCAGAATCTTATTAACCAGTTTCCAAATAAATCACTTAATTCTCTGTATACATTTAAAGATTATGAGTTTATTTCTAATGCATTTAAAGTCTTTATAGAACTTTCTTTAAACTTTAAACTCTTAAAAAATTACATTGAGGCTGATGATAAAATAAACAATTTTAGTTCCAGTTTAAATTTTATTTTGGATGAAATCAGAAGGTTAGAATTAGATTATGAGAAATGTATTTTTCAATTCAGGCAGAAATGTTCTAATTTATGCAATGGAAATGTTTCAGCAATAGATGAGTTAAATAGTTCAGTAAAACAAATTAATCATCACGTTTTGCTTGCTGTGCAAAATATATTTCAGTATCATTCAAAAACTGATGAAGATAGCAAAAAAGATGAAAATGCATCAACAAGTGAAAAAGTTTTGACCAATGGTGTTATAAAGGAAATAAAAGATATTATGAACATTTTAAATTTTTTAAAAATTAAAAAATTATCTAGAAAAATTGGAAAACATTTAAAATTGATTGACTCTTCCAAAGTAAACATTGAAGAAGCCAATAAAGTTATATTTGCAATACTTCCATTTCTGGATCAGTATGTTAATTTGGCACAGTTTTTTATTGTGGAACAAACAGCATCTCATTCTGTTTTATGTAAACTTTTATATGTTTTGCTTGGAATATTTAATGATTTGGCTAAACAGGTAATTTTATTATTATTATATAAATTATAATGACAGTTAAATTAAAATTAATCAAAATATATTGTTTTATTCAGGGATTTTGTTTACCACCTGAATTATTAGAAGAAAATGTTCAAAAAAAGGGTGATAAATTTAAGGAAATAGAAGATGGTGGTTTTGGAGAAGGTGAAGGAATGAAAGATGTGAGTGAAAATTTGGAAAGTGAAGATCAACTTGAAGATGCTCACAAACCTGGAGAAAAGAAACAAGATGAATTGGATCAACCTGAATGTGAAGTCAGTATCTTTTTAATTGCTAATAAAGCTTAATATTAAGTAATCGAATTTTCATTATATATGAAAAGAATGTTTTGAAGGTTTGCATTAATTTAAAATTAGGGCTAATTTCCTTTCTATTAGAAAATTATCAGGATTCACAGCATTCATGGAACACCTAGAAAACATGAAATTAATGGATGTTTATATTTATAACAAAATTTTTTGATTAAAGCCAAACAATTTGCCATATTTTATCAGACTATAATAGACTACTATAGTAGTCATATTATAGCACAATATAATCCAACAGATCATTTGGTCTTAACATAGAATTTTCATGGATTTGGAAAACAGAGAAAATTTCACAGAATTTTCTTAAAAATTGCTGCTCTATATTAATGTTATACTCTTATCCAAAATAATTGATTAATTGATGCTGTGGATGTGCAATGTTTCATTTGTGTGTAATGTGTAGGAACTTTCTGAGGCATCTAACTTCATTGAATTAAAGGGAAGTTGGAAACAAGTTTTATTGAAAAATGAGTACTCACTATCCAAATGGATTCATTGGCTCAGTTGGCTCACTTTCCAAATGGTTAGTCCAGTGCTTATCAAATTATAATTGAACATCCATTAAAAAATAATTCCTATCTTTCTAACAGGCTTATGTAGTATGTATTTTTTATAATGTGTGCTATTGCAGATGAACACATGCTCCCTATTATGCAAATTTAATTGAGATTAAGTAGAAATTAATGTTATAGGCTTCTATCCAACAGTTTGTACATTTCTAGTTAGAGTTAGGTAGGTTTATTTTTTATTGATTGTCCTAATGGTGGTGTTTTGTTATCTTTGATGTGTGGTCAACTCTCTCATTATTGACACTTGCCATTAAGGTCAATGCACACTATCAAGCTGTTCACAGTTCTGTGAAATATTTATCAATTATGTCCAATGTTCCCAACCAAGACTTGAGCATTACTTATAGTGTAAACTGAAAAAAAATTGATAAATATTTGACCAGATGAGCAGACCATGAACAATTGGTACTGTAAATTGGGTCTAAAGTTACTTGAAGCATATTTCTTGATTAATGTTGATATGTATATAGTCTTGATTATGTATTACATCTTTACAACAATTGGCATGAGGTGGTGGTTTTTGTTTTTTGAGGTGATTTGAGGTACTTTTTTCCAAAGAATTTTGTGTTATTGCTATGTTATGAAACACTATTAAGTTAATAATTTTGTCATAACTTAATGTTAGATTGAAACTTGTTCTGTACTTATTTGGGCACTGTTAATTTTTTGATGACATGAAAAATTCATGGAAATTACAATGATAAACTGCTATGATTATTTTGATACTTCATTAATTAATTTAAAAAACACTTATAAAATTGAAGTGTTAATTAATAATGATCATAAAAAGACACTTCATGCCAACAATCAAACAAAATAATTGACAGCAGGGTTACAAACAGGATTTATAATTAAGACTGAGGTGTGTAACATTTTAATTTAATAAAATAATTATCTGAAAATTATATTTTCTTTGATTTTATGGGCCCACCAGTAGTTGAGTGGATGAAATTACTGAACATTGGTAATTGATTATGTCACCAGTGATTTATCAATGTGGAGTTTTCCTCATTTTCTTCATATTTCCAACAAGGACCAGTTTTCAATTGAAAGTCCTTATAGGAGCACTTCCCCTTGGCAGATTGCTCAAATGTTGCATTATCATATTCCACTAATCCTACAATTCTACAGCCGTGGTTTTCCTGATTTTTTAATTAATTATGAAGGTCATTCTAAAAGTAAAGAATGTTTGTTTCTCTAGATATTTTTATTTAAGATAATGAAACAAAACTTATTTTATAACACATATGACACTTAGCTATTTTTCTACATAGTTGCCATACAAATTTAAACATTTGTCAGTGTATCACCAGCTTTTCTATCCTTCAGCACACTCAGTTACCACCAAGTTGTTGAACCGTTCATTATCACTTCCCTAGTGATTCCCAGCCCAAAAAATCCTTCAATTTTGGGAAATGATGGTAATAACTTGGAGCCAAGTCCAGGCTTTAAGAAGGATGTTTAAAAACTTCCCACTTAAACTGCTGAAGCAAGTTCTTCATCAATGCAGCAGCATGCAGATGTGCATTATCCTGAAGAAGCACAAATTCCTGTGGACAACAATCCCCACATTTGTTATGAATGGTGCGACATAGTCAGTGAAGGGTCTGACAATAGGCCACTGCATTTATGGTCTCCCCTCTAGGCATGTAGTCGATGAGTAGGACACACTTTTGATGTCAAAACATTGTAGCCATAACCTTTTTGATGCTCAGAATTTGTTTGGCTTTTTTGATCTTGTTGGGGATCTGGATTCATGCCATTCCATTGACTGGTGCTTTGTTTCTGGAGTTTTATGCAAAGTCCAAATCTCATCACCAATAACAATATGGTTCAAAAACTCCTTGCCATACTTGTTGTACCGCCTGAGAAAAGTCAGTGCAGCTCCCATCCAGTTTTGTTTGTGTTCATCTGTCAAAAGTTGAGGAACCCATCTGGCACACACTTTTCTGTAGTCCAAATCACCCATAAAGAACTGTTCTTGAAATTTCAGGAAAGAATGAACTGAGTCCATCTGTAGTGAAATATCTATCTTGTTGGATTTTTTCCTCAATCCTTCATTTTAGTTCATCAGTCACAACTGAAGGTTGGCCCGAGCATTCATCATCATGAATATTCGTTTGCCAGCCATTAAACATGATGCACCATTTTCGAACTGAAGCTTCATTCATCACATTACCATAAACCTTGGTTATCTGTCTGTAAATTTCAATAGGGCAGAGTTTTTTCACATTCAAAAAGTCTATTACACTACTTGGCGGGATCTTTAATTTTGTCACACATTTCAAAGTTACACTATAAACAGTACATGATTGTAGCAGCTTGCTGTTAGCATCAGACTGGCACAAAAAAATGGGAAGGTCCATGACGTGGCAGTGGGGGGTGATGGGAGAACTGTGCGGCTAGTCAGATCAAAATGTTCTTTTCTTTTAGAATGACCTTCATATAATAAATTGAATAATTCTTCATTCTTTTTAAATAATATACCAAGGATGACCAAACCTTATCACAATAGGAATCATACACTGCGTATTGGAAATAGGCAGTGTATGACTCCTATCTTGACAAGAGCCACATCCTTAATATGCCAAATGACTGCTGGATTAAATTATGTGGAAATTAATTAAAAATAATAGCCTAATTTGTCACTACAGGCAGGCATTAGGCACCATCTCTATTAATTTAATTATAATTATTAAATTTAGCCTGAGATGGTACCTAATGCCTATCTCTAGT